GTGTGTGTGTGTGTGTGTGTCTGTGAAGATAGAGTTCAGGGATGGGAAAGACTGAGTTGTAAAACACTCAGTAGGTTCATGGAGTGGTATAACAACAGGGCATGACACAGCTGATGTTCACATGATCACAATGACTGTAACAGAACACTTTCAGTTTATTATCCTCATTCTGTGGATATTTAATCACTTTGTCTCTTCGATTGGATCTTTTTTTTTAAATATTTTTGTTAGAAATGTGCTCATTATCTTACATAATACGATTTCAGTTATCGGGTATAGCTCAATGACTGTAATAAAACAGCAAAGGCTGCGCATGCAATGTACTAACACACATATCAGTGCTCATCAACAAGTTATTCTGCTCCTTATTATAATAATTAAAATTATTGAAAGGGAAAGAGGACGCCTGAAAATGACATTGCACTGAAACATCAATACGTAAAACACTGTGTTTTGTCTGTGTTTGACAACTTAATCAGATAACAGGGCGGTGCTAAGAGGAACTGCCAAGTCAGTCCATACTCTCTCCATGTGTATATGTTGTCAGTCCCTTTGGACCCCAGTGGCTGCTCCTCTGCAGGATAGCAGCTCTCTGGAGAGAAGAAAACCGATCAGTCTCAATAAACAGAGAGCTGCGCAGAGAGACACTGAGGTGCTTCACAGTAATTTCACAGTCATCAGCCCTCATCACCGAGAGGGGGCAAGAAGGCAATGAAATGAGACTCTGGATGCATCCAATCCTCTCCTTCCCCTTCTTTCTCATCCCCTCATACTCAAACTTTCAGGTGCAGAGACAAACTTTCCAGCAACGCTTAGAAGTTTGTTTACATTCATGCAAGATCAAATATTCTTCTTTATCTGTCCTTGTCACAAACACACAAACACATAGCTTCAGTGCGCATTGCGTCCTCTGCAGCTTCACTATATCTGAATCTCCTCACCGCCTGGTGAGTCTGCTCCCGCAGCTTTCACAGTAAGGAAGTTATAATGACAGGGATGCTGTAATTCACAGAGGAAAGTAAACAAACTCATACATGTACACACACAGTGTGTATATATAAATATATAAACACACACAGAAACATGTACAACTGCAAATACAGAAATCATAGTTTCAATGACACCACCTACTGTTCGAGATACAGTAAAGCTTAAAAAGCTCATATATTCACACACACACACACAGTCAGACAACATGCACACAAATAACCACACACATATTTGTCAATGTGCGGTTACACACATGCTCTCCTGTCAACACAATGACGCTCTGACTGCAACTGCAGAGAAATAAGAGAAGCAAAACATTCACTCATCCACTCCAACTTATCAGGGATAAAATATACGAGTCAGTCCAGCCAATCAAAGTCCTGATCTTATTATGGCCTTGATGCCGATAGAGTCAGCCTCAGGTCAAAGTCAATCTCACGCTCTCTCTCTCTGTGTTTTCTTTTTACTTCTCCATACAGCTCTCTTTCCTTCTATTCATAAAAACAAGGTGATAGGTGGCTCCATTTATTTCTTTCTCACTTTTTTTTTTTACTTGTCTTTGCGTTTTAGGAATTTCAGAGTTGATGCTGTTTTTCAGAGATGTCGCCACATTTGATTTTCTTTACTCTTTTCACAAAACCTTTAAAAAATTGCCATGCAAGACAAATCAATGATGGTGTCAAATATATATATTTTTTGTCAAAGATGCCTGAGCCTGTGAGCAGTGTGCTGGAGCTGCATAGCGTGAGGAGTCATGATGCCTGATGGAGCATTTGGGGACCGGAGGGAATGAGGGGGGAGATTATCAGGCTCCTGAGCGAGCCAGCTGCCACTGGAGCTGTGTGGGCAACACTACATCCTGCCTCCTTTTCTTTTTTATCTCCCTGCCTTTCTCATGGTCTCCCCTGAGTAAACAGAGCCGATAGCAAATGTTTTTATGCCCCGGCAGCAAATAGGACCGGTATCATGGTCCCTTCAATACATGCACGCGACCAATCATGAGTCAGTCTCAGCTGTCAATCATGTGATTTCACCTAGTTTTCATCATAACTATAAAACCTGACAGAAAGTGACAGAAACGAGCATTGAGAAAAATGGAGCGATGCTTGTTTTCTAGTTCAGGCAGATAACTCGAGCTACACTGCTCTACTCATGTGACATGCCTCACTCACCACAATCCTCACCACACACCCTCCCAATCTGGCGGTCTATTTAACTGGCAAAAATGTCCCATCTCTCCCTCTGCTTGTCAACGCCCCTGCATCCACCTGTAGGGTCCAGCAACGGCTCAAATATATTTGCTCATCACTCCACATCACATCAATGTAATCACATCTAGAGAAGTGATGAAGTCAGAGCGAAGATGACAAACTAATTATTTTCTGCTGCTGCGAGAAACATTTCAAACCTATACTGTGACTATTTGATTTGGTCCACGTCCCATCCACTAATATGGAGGAGGCAGGAGGGAACACTACTGTGGTTCAAATGAACTGGTCCATTTAACCAGATGTTTGAAAAATACATAAATAAATGTCATGGTGAAAACTAATGAGTAATTATAAGATATTATTCATGTGACTGACATTCACAATTAAAAAGTTCAACTGAAAAACTACATTACTGAGATTCCAGTCTTTTATTTCATTTTTTCAAAACAAACAAATCTGTGTGGAGATGTTCTGCCATTCATCACTCATTCTTGCATCCTTTTCAAACGATCTTAGCTATCAGGCTTTTGTTGCTCTGGCCTCGGATTTAAAAAAGTAATTTACAAGGTCAGGGGACATACATGGTGAAGTCAAAGTCTTTACTTTTCTCATCTCTACAAAGTCTTGTGTGATTTTTGCAGTGTGTTTGGTATCATTGGCATGTTGGGAAATTCCTCTCCTGCCACGCTTCTTAAGAAAGGAAGTCACATTTTTATTTCATTTTCAGTTTTTCCAAAACAAAAACTTGTATTTATTGGATCATTTATAAATGTCATCTTCCCTAAAACAAATGCGCTCTAGCAGCCCTGTGTCAGTACATTTCTACCTCCTGGCCAGATCCCCACTTGATCCAGACTCATTTATTTTAGCTTCATATGGTACCAAAAATCTGCCCTTCAACACTCAATCTGTGGCATGATTCACTAATGTCTAATGTGTTCTTGACCATATAACATTTCTAAATCAGAGTATAATGCTTATTATTCTGGAAAGTTAGTGTGGATTAACTTCTTTTCATAACACCTTCCTTAAATAAAATTATTTATTAAATATACACTTCCTGCATGTGACAGTAAATACACCGAAGACCTTCTGGTAATTACACACAGCATCACCATGTACAGCAAAAAAGAAACGTTTAACACAACAACACTGTGTGTGTAGAATCTACAAACGCAGATTTTCCTTTTAAACTAGTGAGGTGCTATTCTTTCTCCTCTGAGCTATTTTTATCAAATCTGTATTTAGGTTACACATGATAAAATCCAAAAGGACATCCAGGCAACACCAATCCCAAGTCTTCCTCTGACTCTCTCTCCAGCTGGAACTTTTACATGCCACATCTTGTAAATGTGTTCGCACAGCGCAGAGCAGCTTCTGCTCCGTAAAATACTATGAAAATAAATAACCCTTGTGCTTGTTTCCATATCTGTAGAGATAGTGTGCACGGTAGCCATGGGCTGCATCTGTTGTGATAGAACAAGTTCAATCTAATTTCAAGTCAAAGTGAAGTTAAATTAGATGCTATATCTAAAAGATAAGCAGCCTTTTATCATCCCTGCATCACTGACACAGTGTAAGCACAGCCACAGCATCGTTGGGACTGTTTGTACTGGAGGAAAACAATTACTATCTCCAAATATGGGGACACTGTCCATAGGTATTTTAATTAGAGGACTGACAGAGTTTCATCTCAGTGTGACAACTCCATTATTTCCCAATGATAAAACAGTTTCCTCACAGAATAAATCCAGTTAGAATAGAGAGACTTCCCCTGGCAGTTTAAGTGGGCAGGCCCAGCTAATCGTTTTCCTGACCTTGGCATTTTGATATCCAGCTGAAGAAGTGAGGCTGGGCAGAAATTAAAGTAATTATTCAAATGCGGCATCACTGAGCTCTGTGCCGAGTTTCTCTCCGAGCTCATGAATGGAAGCCCAGCGCATATTTCCAACTTAGTTGCCTTGTTACAACCAAAATAAATCCACAGTGCATATATTATTTTTGCCAATCATGTATTTTTACTGCAGTTGTGTAGCCATTAATCTATATTTTATAATGTGCACAAATCACAAATCTTTCTACCCTTACCTTCATCTGGATCATTCCTGGCCGATGCCTCCAGAAGCGCCACGCTGGCGGCGAACGACACGTGCCTTTTGGACTCTCCTTGCTGGAAGTTGTTGGCGTTGCGTCCCTTCTTGTCCGCCTTTCGCTTCTTGTTCTGCATCTCCTTCTCATACACAGCCCATCTCTTTAGCTGCTGTGTACGCCGTTTTTGGGCTGTCCTGAGCCTCTCCAGGCTGGGCACCTTGTCCAGCTGCTGCAGCTCCTGGATCAGCTCCAAGTGGTTAGCCATGACGGCAGGGGGACTGGACCGCAGTGGTGGTGGGTGATGACGGAGGGGTGAAATTAAGGGAGAATGTTTTTCTAGCGAGGACTGCACCTTCGGCTGCGGCCTCCTCCCACCATTGTCATCTTCATCCTTTCAGCAGTGGTAGACTTTCTGAGGGAGGAGACAGAAAGAGAAAAGCTGGTGTTCATATAAATATCAGCCACAAATCTTAACTACTTGGAGCTTTGTTTGATGCAGTTTATTACTTGGGGTAAATCTTTAGCCACTGGGGAAACATTGAAGATTTAAAGTGAGCATGGTTTGAAAAGTGCACAGAGATGCATTTTGGTGGACTCATTAGACAGACCAAAGTTCAAGCTACCATGGACCCAGTCGCTGGATAGCTGTTTTCATGTTGTCTCAGCATTTTCTTTAAACTGTGTCGTTAATTGTGATGCTAAAAGGAGTAAATGAAGCAATAATTCTGTTCTCACCCACAGCGAGGTTCACATCAGGGTGAAATAATTTTCCAATCAACATTTCATTCTCATTCCTGCTCTGCTTTCTTCCATTAACGTGCATAATTTTCCAGCCGTCACGATGATGCCTTTCAAGGTTCAGGTAAGTGGATAAATGTACCTCTAAGAGAACAGAGGAACAATTTCACTACTTTGCACTAAATGACCGAACACACAGGTTGCAGTCTCAATTTTCCATTCGCTTTGAGAGCTGTTATAGATCTCATTCTACCATCCTGCATGAAGGTTAACCGCTTCCTGAACACTAGGCGCCAGTATGATGAGAAACTGACTAAGAGGCGAGAAAAAAGAACCAGGGCAGTGTTATAGACACGTTGATTTTGTCATTGTTACCTGGATCTGCTATGACAAAAACAATTGTTTTTTTGACTGATTTAAACCTGCCCTGTCAGAAAGTCTGTATGTTTGTACTGTATGAAACTCCAAATAATCATCTACAACTTCTCAGTCAAGTTCCTTTAGATAGCATAATTAAACTCACTATATACAGAGTAAATGAAAACATACATTAATCTGTCAGACTAAGTGATCGAGCTTATTCACACCACTTCCTCTAAACAGCAGTCTTAACAATGTGCGGACATTTTATCAGCCAGAAAACATTCTCCTGAAGAAAGTGCAGCCCTTCCTAATAACTTAGCATTCAAACACAAACACACACACTCCCACACAAATGACATTATGATTTCCATTGCTTACAAAACTTGCATGGTTTGTGAATGAAACACGCTCTTACCTACTATTTCATACAGACTGGTAAATATTTCCTCATATCTGCAACCTTTACTAATGAAACCCTTCACCCGGCAGCATCGCCTGATGAAATGCTCCACAGTGCTGCGCTACATCTACTCTGCCACCAAACCTGCATTACATTTCCTTAACAGTTAAAAAACACCTACAGTATCTACTGCTGAAAACATGGACAGGAAACAAGCAGTACAATCACTTCCTACAACATCTCAGTTAACCAGAAAAGCTTGTGCACCAGTGAACAGATGTCATATGTAACATTATCAACTCTCAGCCAAGTGAGTAACTCAGAAAGGCATCCAGACAAAATCTTTCCAAACTGTTCCAAACGTTTCCATCACAGAGATGCAAACACACATCCTCGACTTTCCCCTGTTACACAACCTATTTAGCAGATGACAAGTGGAGATGGAGATTGTTGGAGCTTGTGTGAAACAGCTGAGAGGTGAGTTTAACACAGCAAATTGGTTTAGAGCAAATGATTTGTAAAGACTGGCTTGAGATCCAAAGGTCAGTCGCAAGAGGATTAGCAGCAGGGTCTCAAATTATTCTGGAGGAATTTCAAACTAAAGCTGTCAGCAATTTTTTTTCTCCCCTCTGCAAAATCTTTCAAGGAAGACGGAAGGCAGATGAAGAAACACTGCTGCTGCTGAACAGTCTGACACAGTTTCATTTGTAGGTCTGAATAAAAAAAGTCTTAACATTTCAGATATTGGAGGATATGAGCCAGCAGAAGCTAAAACACTGATTATTGGCAGGATGAAAGCCTTTAAATAACTCAACAAGATTTATAAGATCTTTCTAAATTCTGTTCATTATGATGAAATTACTTATTTAAGTTCAATCATGATTCAATATGCCTTGCTTGACAATTGACTAGACTTACTAGGCCAATTCTAGGTAGAACAGATATTTCTCTTTCAAGTGTGTTCTTCATCTTATTCATGCAGTTTTTGTGCATTTGATGTGATTAAGTTATTTTGTCATGACTCCCAGAAAGGTTATGTTTTTCGTTTGTTCGACTGTTAGCATGATTACACAAAAACTACAGAACCATATTATTGAAAGGTTGAGAGGTGGGGCATGGGCCAAGAAAGAGCAGATGGAGATCAGGTGGAAGATCGAGGAATTTTCTTCTACTTTCTTTTACAAGATAAGAAAGAACGTTAGCCTTAGCGGAGGTATGAGCTCTCTGAGCAACCTTCTAGTTTATTTCGATGGATTTTTCGAGATGATCCAGCTTTAATGACTTATACACTGTAAAGAAGTTTAAGACTACATTTTACAAAGAAATATCTGATTGTGTTAACGCTTCAATGATTACAAGTAAAATCAGAATCCATCCATCTGTTATCTATACTGCTTATCCTTTGAGGGTCAGAGGAGGGCTGGAGCCAATCCCAGCTGACATTGGACAGGTCATCAGCATATCACAGGGGCAACATACGGAGACAAACAAGCATTCACTCTTACATTCCTATGTACAGTCTCCAATTAACACCAATTCACATGTTAGTACTGTACTTGCAGACTCAGGGAGAACATGCAAACTTCACATTGAAAGACAAAATCAATATGCAACATTGATATGATTATAATACAGATATCAAAGAGTTTTAACTAATATTACAATAGCAGTCAGAACTGCAACACACAGTGGACAACATACAGGAAAAGGGCCAACAAACAAACTGAATCTAAGAGTGAAAACAACCCCAAACCACTGACATCTATGAAACATTTTTCATGCACTGCTTTATTGTATTGATTTTGGTAAAATGTAAAAAGGTAAAATGTTCCTATGATGGTTTGTGAATTGCCCAAGATAATGTGCCCTTCTCTCTCGTCCTCTGAGATGTGAGCACAGCAATCATCAAAGCAAAACTCATGATTCAAATACCTGAGGGTGTACAATAAGCCTGTGCAGCTCTTTGACGCTGGTTGCTACCCGCCAATAAACCGAACAAAGAAGAAGAACTGTGGTGACTCAGGTCAAGTTTTGAAATTTCCTCAGTTACTCAGCTTTTCTGCTCTAACAGACAAAGTATCTTTCAATGCTGAATCTCAACCTGGTTCAGTGAACTTTCTCCCAAACACTAGAGCAAGAGTCTGGGGATCTGCTCCATCATTTTGAGGAAAACTAAACAAGTCATAAGATTAACTAATTAAATCACCCTGACCTTTATCATGTCCTGCATGAGGAGATCCAACTTCTGCCCTCTAGGAGGCGCTTTACTCTTTAATTCCTCAGTCTGCAGCCAAAGTTAATCAACAAAGTGAAAGGAAGTGATTAATCACTCCCTTCATATACACCCCCACCACTCAACCCGTGAGACAATCAACCGATCCAACAAACAGACTTTGATCCCTCTCCTTCAACACACATATTTACACTTTGACATGGACTTTAACAACACACACATCACTCAATGTCAATGCAGATGTTACATATGCTCTTTCTTTTATGTTTTAAATCCGGCGATGGTAAGTGATTTGTGAAAAAGCACGTGAATGCAGGCCAAATTGCCACGTGAGCAGACAATACAGGGTTATCTTATCTCATTTTAAAGTGAATTAACTTCAGAAAAGCCGTGCGACAAACAAGGAACGTCCAGTGTTTTCTTTAGCCGTCTTTGATGATGAGTTGCATTAGCACAGATAATATGAAACCCAGGAGCTACTGCTTATCAAATCAGGGGAATCAGAGCAGAGGTAATGATATTACTCACACAAACACACATGCACATACACACGCACACAAAACAGACACAAACATATACACACAGTAGGAACAGAGACAAGAAAAGCAACCCAAGCATCTGCATTAATGAGAGACTGATAAGCAGTATCATTTTATCAGTGAGCTTTTACATCCCTTAGGCTGCTTTCAGACATGCACTGAACTCAGCTGTTCATCAATAGTATTTTCTCTGGTGTGCAGGTGCATGTGTGAACGCAAATGTCGGAGTGAGACTCTCCGCATTTTCTGCAGACTTTTTAATTCTTCCTCTTAATGACCTTTTTTATCTAGAACATTGGAAACTTTTCTTGGATGCCATTTATAGTTGCTGTAGCCTCTTTGTCTCCATCACTATGACTGTTCACTTCTTCTAATTCCAAACCAATTCATACTGTTTAATGTAACGCAACATCAGATTTAAAACTCCAGTGTGCTATGAAATATAAAGATTTACATAGCACTTACAGGATTAATCAGCATTTGTCAACCTGTCTGGCAACAGCTTGAATATAACAGTTGTTCATTTCCATGTGAAAGTCTTAGACTTGGATTGTAAGGCATGGATAGTGTACTTATATCCAATATTTTGTTGGATTACCCCGATTGTTCACTTTACACTCCCTCGCCAGTTCTGAAACTAAGCTGACAGTCATTATAATGAGTACTGTCATGTATACACAACAGCAGGAGTCCAGGAGTACGACTTCCTACTTGACTCCTGACCATTCATGGAAAATAAAAACTGATTGGCTGCACAGGATGCTGCCAAATGAGCACAACATTTTCCACAACTACCAAAAACCACATGAGTTAAAAAGGACAGACAGCGGCTAGACACCATTGTGCTTATGAACACTGAGCAAGATGGTTTCACAGTGGTTTCACTATTCTTCACATCTTGTCAGGCTATGTTTTTGTCATGCATTATTCCAGGAAGTGTAGATTTGACAGACATAGCAGATAACACGCGACACACATTATGAGGTTCAAGAGGGACGTCTGCGTGCTGATGTGTGGTCTTGTTTCTGTGACATTAACAACAGGTGCACACGAAAATTACGTTAGCGTTCTGAACAGTTAAGATACAAGAGAATAAAACATGTGCAGCCCCAAAGGGAAATTGCTTTGCCCATTAAGAG